CCTTCTTTTTTTTTTTTTGGTAAACCGTCTCCATGGACCACGGATCCCACAGTACACTTGATCGTTTGAGAGGGACGGGGAGGGGGGCGCAGTTATGGGGTCTCTCTCTCTCTCTCTCTCTCGTCTCTCTCCCATGTCTTGGGTGTGCTTGTTTTTTCTTCTCCCCCATTTTTACCCGTCTCGACGAACCATGGATCTGATCAAAGCAGATACTGCACTTGATGGTGTGGGGGGGAAGGGGGGGGAGGCGAATAGTTAGTTAGGTTGGGCTCTCTCTCTCTCTCTCTCTCGCGCGCGCGCTCTCGCACGTGCTTATTAAAAAAAAAGGTCTTGAATATCTGGATGGACCACGGATCAGATATGAAACTGATCGAAGCAGATACTACACTTTTGTGGGGGGAAGGGGGGAGGAGGCCCATTGTTAGTTACGTTGGTCTCTCTCTCTCTCTCTCTCTCTCTCTCTCTCTCTCTCTCTCTCTCTCTCTCTCTCTCCCTCCCTCCCCGACGTCTTGCGCAAATCATCTCGATGGACCTCTCTCTCCCTTTCGCTCGCTCGCGCGCACATGTTTTTTTTTTTTTTTTCCTAAAACAAAAAGGCATTGATGGACCACGGATCGAATACTACCCTTGATCGTGTGGGGGGGAGGATCGGATATGAAACTGATTGAAGCATATACTACACTAGATCGCATGGGGGGGAAGAGGGGGGAGGCGCATAGTTAGGTTGGGTTCTCTCTCACTCTCTCTCTCTCTTGCGTGCGCGCGCCTTTTTTCATATATAAATAATAACGGTCTCGATTCTCTCGATGGACCACGGATCAGATATGAAACTGAGCGGAGCTGGTACTGCGCTTGATCGTGTGGGGGGAAGATAGGATATGAAACTGATCGAAGCAGATACTACACTTGATCGTGTGGGGGGGAGGGGGAAGGAGACCCATTGTTAGTCAGTTTGGGTTCTCTCTCTCTCTCTCTCTCTCTCTCTCTCCCTCTCGCGCACCCGCGCGCGCGCGCGCGTGCGTGCTTTTTTTTTCTTTTATAAAATCTCGATGGATATGGAACTGAACGAAGTAGATAATATGCTTGATCGTGTGAGGGGGAGGATCGGATATGAAACTGATTGAAGCAGATAATATGCTTGATTGTGGGGGGGGGTTGGGGGGGTGAGGCGCATAGTTAGTTTGGTTGGGTTCTCTCTCTCTCTCTCTCTCTCTCTCTCTCTCTCTCTCTCCCTCTCCACAGTGTCTTGTGCACACACGTTTAAACCGTCGCGATGGACCCTCGCTCTCTCGTGCGCGCGCATGTTTTTTTTTTTTTTTAAATAAAAAGGTCTC